TTTTATTTGTAACACGCCTAACAAGCAACACAATTAGACTTTTTTACACTGGTTTACGGGCCAGCCTTTAAATAATATATACAGCTACAGTTACAGTACCAAGTAATTGTGCACACTACATACTGCTAAATGTCAATAAGCTAATGTGCCACTGCTACTAAAATATCAGCAAGCCATTGTGCCACTGCTACCAAAATAACAGCAAGCCATTGTGCCACTGCTACCAAAATAACAGCAAGCCATTGTGATTTTAACCAAGGTAATCAGCCAATGTTTGGTATGAATGCTGGCAAACAGTTTGTAGCTATGTCACTGTGTGCAGTTGTTTACCGCAAAATTAAATGTTATAATATATGGGATACATCAGTTTTGAACACAATGTTGGTAATACGTTCATATCCAGTATACACCAATAGTAAGATCGCACTTGTTTTTAGCTGGCATATATACATCAATAACCATAATTCATCAGAGATACCCATCATAACATGTCAATGTACATTAATACACATCGTTACACGCAAATGACGCAACTAGGCATTGCTAGACATCATTGCATATCACTGGACATCATTATACATCACTGGCATTGCTGGACATCATTATACATCACTATACATCACTACATCACTAGACATCATTATATGCATAATACTAAGCATTAATAGACATCATTATACATTCACTACACATCAGTATACATCACTGGACATCACTTAGCATCAATAGACATCATTATACATCACTAGAGATCATTATACATCACTGGATATCACTAAGCATCAATAGACATCATTATGCATCACTAGACATGGGTGTCCCAAAAAAACCCGAAAACTATTGAAATCACCCATAACAATGCAATTGTTAGAGTTTGAATGCCTAAGCACTCTGTTGGGACCCACATGCAGGTGTGTAAATGCTTACCATACTCATTTTTATGCATGCATATGATGCAGTAAAATTTATTTGTTCGCAAAAATAATATTTATGAACAATATTTACAATTTACAAATATGGATAACATTATTTAAATGTGCATCTCAAGGACCACGACCTTCGACATGTCCCCTTTTTCTAGCAACACAAAGCATTTAGCATTTTATAAGTTGCATTAAATCCCCAAGGGCTGAAATTCGTGAACACCGGTGGCATTCAAATTTTAACAATGAGTGATTTAAATACTTTTCGTTTTTTTTTTTCGGACACCCTGTACATCACTGGACATATATGTAAATACCTATATGAAAATTTCTGAAATCGAACGGCAGTTTCTGAATTTCATCTCAAAACGTCTGAAAATGACCAGGAAAAGGTGTAGACATCATTATGCATCACTGGACATCACTAAGCATCAATAGACATCATTATACATCACTGGACATTGCTGGACATCATTATACATCACTAGACATCATTATACATCACTGGACATCACTAAGCATCAATAGACATCATTATACATCACTGGACATCACCAAGCATCAATAGACATCACTATACATCACTAGACATCGCTGGACATCACTATACAACACTAAGCATCAATAGACATCATTATTCATCACTAGATATCATTATACATCACTGGACATCACTAGACATTATGCATCACTGAACATCAATAGACATCATTATACATCACTGGACAATACTAAGCATCGATAGACATCATTATACATCACCAACATCATTATATATCACTAGACATCATTACACATCACTGGACATCACTAAGCATCAATAGACATCATTATACATCACTAGACATCATTATGCATCACTCAACATTAATAGATACTTATGCATCACTCGACATCAATAGATACTTATGCATCGCTGAACATCACTAAGCATCCATAGACATCACTAGACATCCTTATGCATCACTCGACATCAATAGACATCATTATACATCACTGGACATGACTAAGCATCGATGGACATCATTATACATCACTGGACATCATTATACATCACTAGACATCATTATGCATCACTCAACATCACTATACATCACTGGACATCACTAAGCATCAATAGACATCATTATACATCACTATACATCCCTGAACATCATTATACATCACTAGACATCATTATACATCACTGGACATCACTAGACATCATTATGCATCACTCAACATCAATAGACATTATTATACATCACTGGACATCACTAAGCATCAATAAACGTCATTATACATCAGTGCACATCACTAAGCATCAACAGACATCATTATACATCACTGGACATCATTATACATCACTAGACATCACTGGACATCGCCAAGCATCAATAGATATCATTATACATCACTAGACATCATTATGCATTACTAGACATCATTATCCAACACTAGACATCATTAAGCATCTCTAGAAATCACTAGACGTCACTAAGCGTCACTAGATGTCACTGGACATAATTTTGCATCACTAGACATCACTATACATCACTGGACATCATTAAGCATCACTAGAGATTACTAGACGTCATTAAACATCACTGGACATGACCAAGCATCAATAGATATCACTAGGCATCAAAAGACATAATTATACATCACTAGACATTGCTGGACATCACTAGGCATCATTATCCATCACTGGACATCATTAAGCATCACTAGAGATTACTAGATGTCACCAGGCATCACTGGACATCACTAGACATAATTATGCATCACTAGACTTCACCAAACATCACTACAGGTCGCTGGACATCACTAAGCATCACTAGACATTAGTGAACATCACTCGGAATCACTGAACATTACTAGACATCGCTAGGCATCATCATCCATCACCAGACATCACCAAACAGAACAAGACCTCAGTAGGCATCACTGGACAGTCACCCTATACACTGACTGAAAAATGCTGTATTCCAAGGTATTCACATGTATTCACAATACTGATTGGAATAAAACACGTATTGCAAGCATATTCCGACATGGAATATTAGTGTGAATACGGCATCGTATTCTTAAGTATTCTAAGTGTGAATATGCACATATTTGACCAATATTCACACTTGGAATATCTCACTTCTCGCTTAATTCGTGTTTCCACAAGATAATTTCTGAAGCTGACATTTTTTAAACTTTATTATGAATGCTCAAAAATGGAAGTGGAGTTTTATAATTTGGTGCAAAAAGCGTGCTTTCAAGTTAATAAACATTGATTGAGGATCACACATTCGTGCTTGTAAGAAAGCTTTTTAGCGAAAAATAAATATGGGTCAGTCAAGAAAAGAAACAAGAACGCCAAGGGCTTAGTAAAGTCTGCAAACTCTGGTCGCAGTTAAAGAGAATGCCAGCGAGTATTTGTATGCTACAATTCCCACATTGAAAATGCGCAAAACAGAAATGAGATTATATGGCGAAATGCACACAGTACATTATGTTACTGGTTCACCAGTTTAAAATGATAACGAACAACTGGTTCACCAGTTTAAAATGATAACGAATATTAACCATATTACAAGGATTCATTTTTTATTGTCCAAATTTTTATCCCAACAAGCAAATACCGTTTGTGCATATAAAGGGACCTCTTCGGTGAGTGACTGAATATTGTGTAGTTGAGTGCAATAGCCAGCCTATAGACTATACCCTATGGCCTATTACCATGTGGTGAGTATCTCTACATTTCTTTCACAAATTACCTTGTAATAAAAAGTTATTGGGTTATGCGTTGACAGTCTGTGCAAATGTTTAAGCATTTATTGTTCCTCAAGCTTATCTATGAACAAAAATATCAATATGAACAAATATGATCTTTAGGTTGCCATATTAATTTGCATAGCATATGCCATGATAAGATTACTTGAGATTTTGTACAGTTCTTAACAGATCATGTACATGTGATGGTTTACAACATTTATACATCTATTATTGCTGTAATTAATTGCGAATGATCTAAATCATCAAAAATTAGTTGCATACAGTCTGCCATTAACTTCTAAGCTGTTATGATTTTCAATCCTTGGACAGCTGGTTGGGATAGATACACCGTGGTATACACTTAACTTCCCATATTATTAGTATATTGTTGTACTGACTGTACACTGTTTTATTTATCAACTTCAAATCGTTTTACAAACGTAACTCGACTGCAAAATCACAATCTAACAACATGTCCGCTCTCTTACAATCCCATACTCCAAAAGGAGAATCGTCCCGATAATGTTCCGATCTATTCCGATCTAGCAAATAACACAACGTCTATATAATACATATATATATATATAACATCTCTCCCCACCAACAATAATAGTCCGACCCGTTAAATGTCATAGTCTTTCAAATAAGTAGGCATTCGGGTTGTTCGTCGTGGTCTCTGCGCTTGCTCGGCGTCTCTTGTTGTTTTTGTTCCCCCTGCAACGTATCATTACCCGCATTTCTATTCTCCATCTCTCCCTCACTCTTGCCTGACGCGTCGTCCTCATCTTCGTTGTCTGCAAGTGCGTCGGTCTGAATCTTCCGGAAGTAAGACGCGTCCCTCGTAACCGTCCAGCTTCCATTAATCTCCTGTGCAGTAATTCTCGAGCCTTGAACCTCTGTGATTCTCAAAGGGGTAGGATTGAACGTGGTTGTCAACTTATTGGCTTTCGTCTGCTTCACGATAACAGTGTCTCCTACGCGAAGTTTGTGCGGTGAAAGCCCGTTTCTCATCTTGCCTTTGTATTCCTGGTCTCGTGTCCGATCTACAACCTGGTCGATCGGTGTCATAAGTGGCAGTACTGTCCGCATTCCTCTCCCGCCATGCATTGCAGCATGTGGGCTGACGTTGGTCGCGCTGTGCGGGGTGGATCGGTACATCTGTAAAAATCTTTGGGATGCATCTCTCAGGGGAGTCCCTTCCAGGGTTGCTGTTTGCAGAGCTTCCTTCATGCTCTGATTGAACCGTTCAACTGTCCCATTCGCTCTGGGCCACTCAGGGGTAATGTGATGATGGTGGTATCCACTGCTTTGGGCGAACTGTTCCATTTTTTTTTATTGGAACGGTGATCCGTTGTCCGACTGACACACTGCTGGAACACCTTTGTTGGTGAATATTCTCGGCATGGCTGCGATTGTGGTGTTTGCATTAGGCGCTTTTCGAAACCATGCCATCTCGGGCCATCGACTGTAGCAATCGATCATGATGAATATGTACTTCCCATTGGGATATGGGCCTTGGAAGTCCATTTCCACATACTGCCACGGTCCGGTTGGTAACTCCGATGGTTTGATTGGCTGGTTATTGTTGGCTGGTTGGACAGCTTGGCAAGGTAGACAACCTCGTACCTGGTTTTCGACAGCCCTATCCATCCCGGGGAACCAGCAGAATGTTCGTAAGAACTGTTTTGCTTTGCTGACTCCTTGGTGTGCTCGGTGACTCAATTCCACAACCCGTCTTTGTAGGGCAGCGGGAATGACAACACGTGATCCCCGACACACCACACCATTGACCACGCTCAAGTCGTGTTTGATTTCTGGAACCATAAAAGGTTTTAATTCTTCATCTTCCTGGTTAGTTCTTGATTGAACTGCTTTAACCAGTTTCTGGTAAGACTCGCATTTATCCCCTTCAGTTCTAATGTCATCTACCGTCACTGCCCTTTGTTCATTCAGGGCGTGGCAGTACCATCCCTCGACAACGCTTTCAGCTGCTGCTTCGATCTCGGACACTCGGCTTGATCCTTCTCTCTCGACATGATGGCGCGACATGTAGTCAGCAATGCATGTTTTCCCTGGGCGGTAAACAACTTCATACTCGAACTCTTGCACGTCCATAACAAAGTTCTCAACTCTTGGAGGTAGTTCTCCGCACCGTTTGTGGAACATGTAGGTCAATGGGCGGTGGTCGGTAACAATACGGAATTTTGGTGCACCAAGCAGGTACTTCCTTAGCTTCCGGCATGCCCAACGTACGGCCAGTGCTTCTCGTTCCGTCGAGGAATATCTAGTTTCCACTTCTTTCAGTGCCCTCGACTTGTACATAACTGGGTGGAAGGCCTCATTCTTTGATGCCCGCTGGACAAGAACTGCTCCTAGCCCCGTCTTGCTGGCGTCTACTACTACTTCGGTGTCATGTCCGATGACGTAATGGTGCAATAATGAGAAATCACTTAGCGAGGCTTGCAACTTTACGAATGCTTCTTGGCACTTTCCGTCCCAGGCCCAGACATTTTCTTTGAGCTTTTGCCGTAGAGGGTGGACAATACTTGCAAAGTTCGGGATGAAGCGTTCACTAAACCCTGCCATTCCGAGAAAAGATCGTAATTCCGCTTTGCTTGTAGGCTGGCTTGCGTCTTGTAGATTCCGTACATTCTTTGGGTCCGGCTTGATGCCCTGCTTGTTGAACACCAGTCCAACAAAGCACACCTCCTCTACATCGAAGATGCATTTGTCTGGGTTCACCGTGATGCCATTGCTGTTTAAAGCTGACAGGACCTTCTGCAAGGTTGTATCATGCTCTTCAACTGATCCGCCGATCAAGATGTCATCCGCTATGTTCACTTGGTTTGGGACACCAGACAGCATCTTGTGCATCTCCAGCTGGAGGATATCCTGGGCAGACTTGGTTCCGTAGTTGAGCCTCTTGTAACGGTAGAGGCCATCAGGGCCATAGAATGTGGTGATGTTGCGCGATGGCTCGTCTAGAACAAACTGGTGGTATGCTTCCTTGAGGTCCAGTTTGGTGAAGCGTTCTGCTCCTTGGAATTTGTTTACAATATCCGCCATTGTTGGTATCTGTGTACACGGGCGTTGTATAGCTTCGTTCGCCATACGCATATCAATGCAGAAACGAATATCATTGGAATCTGGTTTCGGAGCAATTACTGGGACTAACCCAACTACGTGGCTGGTTGTCCGGGACTCGTTCAATGATGTCTTGATCGAGGAGGTCTTGGATCTTGTTTTCTGTCCGGTCCAAGAGATTGAACGGTATTCGTCTTTGTTTCTGAACAACAGGTGTGATACTGTCGTCGATCATCAGTGACACTTCCTTCGTCTTGGCTTTACCGATCTTGCCCGTGAATACCTCTGGGTTGTCTGCAATCATGTCTGCTACCTCTTGGCGTCTGGCTGTTGCCATAACTTTCTTACAGGGCTCGGATACTTGCTTTACGAGGAAACTTTCATTGTATTTGACTAGCTGTAGCTGCTTTGCTGACTGTTCAGAGAGTAGTGGGTAGGCGGATGGTTCCGATGTTACATATATTTCGGTGCTGACTGTCCGATCCCCTGCTGCCAATACTGCTTTGAACGATCCAATGACCGACAGTGGTGTCTTGCCCCCATATGCAAACAGCTTGATATTTGTTGGCGACAGCTTTACCGGTTCCTTGGTCTTCTTCTCAAAGCTGCGGAATTGTTTCTCATCCCAAACATTCTTTTGGGTCCCGGTATCTGGTTGCCACAATACTTCTTGGTCGTTGGTACGGACTCTCATCAGCGATGGCTTCTCCCTCATCCCAAGATTGTTTACAAATCCGATTTGGGCCACATCATACTCATCTGTGTTAGAGTCATTCTCAGTGTTGTCTTGGGACTCTTCCTCAATACGCTTGACTCCTGCTTCCTTTTGCTTCTTGAAACACTTGCTGGCATAGTGTCCTTTCTTCTTGCAATAGTTGCAGACTTTGGTTAAGGCTGGGCACTCTGAAGCAGGGATATGTTTCTCATGTCCGCACCTGTTGCACTGGTCTGGGTTCTTTGGTGATGCGTAGCTTCGTTTTGTATCCACCTTGTTCACTTCCGGTCGCGGGGCTCCATTACTTTACTTCGGGCGACAGCATCTTCTTTTTTTCTTGCGATATCTAAGATTTGGTCGAGTGTTCGATCCTTCTGTAGAAATTTTAGGCGAAGGGTATTATCATACATATTACTAATGATTAGGCTCTTAATCATCTTTTCAGCTGACCAATCTGTAAAGTTGCACTTTTTTGCCGCTTTACGCAGTCTCGTTGCATAACTTGTGATACTTTCCGAGGGCTCTGTCTTCATTCGGAGTAACTCAAAAATGGCGAAATCATTACACTGTTTTGGTGAAAAATGTATTTCCAATTTGGTTTTTGACTTCTCATACACCGTCCAATCTGCTTCTTCTACCCCGTCTGGTCTGCCTGGTTCTGGCAGCGTGTCGTGCAGGTCTTCAACATCAGTGCCTGCGTATATTAACAGGGCCATTTTGGCTATTTCTGGGGTTTTACTTGGGTCACATCCATTGTATTTGAGGTCTCTCTCAAACCGTTCAAACCACTTTTCCCATCGTTTTCCTAGGTCCAACCGATCACCATGAGGATCGAAGGGTAAAACTTTTAGCTTGGGTCCTTTTGTAGCCGTAACGGCTGCGGAACTCGTCGCCATTGTTGTACTGACTGTACACTGTTTTATTTATCAACTTCAAATCGTTTTACAAACGTAACTCAACTGCAAAATCACAATCTAACAACATGTCCGCTCTCTTACAATCCCATACTCCAAAAGGAGAATCGTCCCGATAATGTTCCGATCTATTCCGATCTAACAAATAACACAACGTCTATATAATACATATATATATATATAACATCATTGCTCCTGGAGTATTTCAGACTATGACTTTATATATATGACTTTATATATCCTCCAAAATTCAAGTCTTAATTTCATGTCCAAGTTTTTTTATTTTAGGTAACAGCCGATACTTTTGTATTAAACATTAAACATTCTGAATTCGACATTTATTATTTCTAAATTCGACATTCAACTTCATGCAATTCGACCTTCAACTTTTTTTTTCAATTTGACATTCAACTTTTTGCAATTTGACAGTCAACTTTATGCCATTCGACATTCAACTTTTTTTTCAATTCAACATTCAACCGCAATCCAATTCTAACTTTGTAACACTGGCTCAAGTTAAGACAGCGGGCCACTGCAGCAGACGAGCCAGTGGGAGATGCAGCCACTGAACTATATAATAAATCTATTGTAAAATAAATATACAATATAAAGAATATAATGGTTTTAAATATAGCTCTGTGATGCAAATTTATGGTGATGGCGTCTAATCGTGCTGCAGAAATTAACGAAGTGAAAGACACTCTATACATGCTTGCTAATCGAATTTCTAACTGGGAACAGTCTCAAAATAATGGTGAGTTTCCTCTTTATTGTATTTTTATAATCCGCTATATTGATTATATCAATTTATTTGAACGGACTTCACATCATCTCCAACTACTGCGACAGATTACAGTCTATTGTAACAGGGTGGTGGTGGTATGTGTGTTTCATATACTATGCTTTGTGAGCAAGCAACAAGAGTTTACAATTAGCTTTGTTTATATTAAAATGTGTTGTGTGTCTCCCTTTTATAACACTGTCCTACAACTGCCTATTGATCTGCTGATTTTGTTGATAGTGTGGATTCAACAGGGCGCTTATATAGCGCCCTGGTGTGAAAGCTATAAGAAGCGACCCTCCGAATTAACATTGTCTCCCCGAATTAACATTTCCTAACTTATATTGGCCTGGTGAGAATCTTATGTTTATTTTTTGTTCACCTTTTTTTTCTGTAGGTTTTCCTGCCCCAAATACTCAACCAGTAACACCTGTGCCTGTACAGTCTTCTAATCAGACCCCAAATCAAGTTGGAGTTCCAACTCTCTTGAAGCAAGTGGTACATCCACTTACTTACGTTCACAAAATCACAATGTGTGTTCATCCAGTTCCAAGTCCAAACAATCGAAAAGAAAGAAATTCACACATGCACTATAAAATTTGTTTGCCTTGCATCAAAAGATGCAGAACAACCACTACAGAATATAAAGGAGAGAACAGACCTATCTAATGCATGCCTTGGTGACAAATCAATTGCATTAATTGACAATGGTGAACCTATCTATGATGCAATTGTGGAAGACTATCCACAACTTTCAGAGGTGGGAGGGTTTGATTTCCTTCTATACCAAAGAAGTAGTGGATTGGATGCTGGTTTTCATGTCATAAATAGGCTGCACACAGCTAGCAGACTTAACGATTTGTGTGGTCAAGCAAAGGTGTATTTGAGGCCAGTGCAAAAAGATATACCTATAGGATTAACACCTGAAAATGTGGAACAAAATGAACAAGGTCATTCAGGGGCTCATGACTCAAGTCAGGTATTTCATTTTTCTATTTTCAATTTAAAAATATTTTTGCTTTGTAGCTTTGTGTAGAGTATGAGCATGAAGCCAACGCTATTTGTTAAATTGTGTGTTTTGTAACTATTCAATAGTTACCAAAATAGTTTAATAGTGACTTGATCAGTTAAAAAATGATAATAGATTGAAGCAATGGTACCCGTTGCATTCTAATTGTGGATACAAAATGTTGAAAAATATAAATGTAGAAGTGCCCTTATTATTTTGACACAATTGTTGGCTAATGTTCTTGTCATATCTTAAGTGCTGACTAAGTCCATTGTCTTCTGATTATTAAAGGTGACTGAATCTGCTCTAAAGTGTTTTGTTTGTGATGCTGAAGTACCCTTTAGCAGCATAAGAGAGCATACAGAAACACATAATAGTGGAGGTCATAACAAGGTATAATAAAGTCATATCAGTCATAACATTGTGTAAAATATAGCCAGGATATGTTTCACAGCTGAGTGGTTATTGCATCATTCCATATTCCTTGTTACTATGTAACATGTTTTTGCATGCATAGCAATATTCAATTTTAACTCAACTTATATATATATTCTTTTTTCATAGCAAAGACAAACTACCCTTGAGGAAAGTACAGGGCATAATAGGTATGCACAAATAGTAGACTTTTTTCTTAATTCTTGACAAGGTGGTCAGATGATTGTGCTCATACTGTATGCTAATGTGTACATAGTGACCATTATAAGTACTGCTGCAATCTGTTTAAATTGAAAATACTGACTGCATAATATTGTAGTAAATATAGTGCGTAAAATAGTAGTACCAGAGACTGTTTTCTTATGTCTCATACAGTATGTTTAATAGTTTGTTGGATATGATTATTTAGTTTGTCAGGGAACATGGAGGAAATGAGAATTACAAGAGATTTTACCTGATGCAACCACAACTAATATCCAGAATGCACTGTCTTCTGCAAATGGAGACATTGCAAAAGCAGTTGAACATCTTTCACCAGGTACAGTAAGATGTAATTTTATCAGTAAGGGCTGTTTGCCATAATCTATAATATACTAACAATTCATACCAGCTAGACAGGATCACCTTTCAATGACTGTTGATTTTGGAAGCCTGAAAGTAATTTCTGCCAAAAACCTAAGTCAACCACTTCATCCCAGGCATTGTTTTTGACGCATATTAACCCGTCATGAATTTCCCAACTAGGCAGGATGAAAATGTCCTACTTGGCTAAACAGGATTATATGAACAGACATAAAGGCTAAGTCTCTACTCTAGTTTATATATCTTGTTGCCAGAGACATGTCGGGCGGGAAGCGTATTTGAAGTATAAATATTAAAGCCCAACATAGTGCTTTCAGTAAAGCCATAAGAGACAATCAAACCATTTGAGAATAATAAGAATATATTTGGTAGTAACGTTTCGTCTTAACTTAAGACATCTTCAGACTAAGTGATAAATACATGATAATTTGAATATGTAGACTATATAGTAATATATTTACAAGGTATCAATTTACAAACGGTGATAACAAGAACAGCGTAAGGACAAGTGGTACATGAGAGGACAAGGGACAGAGACGTCACGAC